TTATTTTAATTTATTATAATAGGTTTTAGTGATTATTTTCATGAACACAAAAAAAATTGTTATACAATAACATATACTTTATAATAATAGAATATTTATTATTAAAATTATTTTTATTTATAATATAAATATAATATATTTTAAAATATTATTAAAAAGTATAAATATAGATTATAATAACATATAATATATGTATTGAATCTCATTTAAAATTAACACTAAAATTTTGTGTATATTATATGTTAAATAGATTTATACATATATGTATTATATCTATAATAATGTTTTTTATATATCATTATATGTAACACAGGTTAATTATGTCACTGTTTTAATTAGGCCTTCTCAACTTTTTTCTTCTTCATATTATTATTCTTTAATTTAAAAATAGTTTTATGTTAATTATTAGGTGATATATTTTATTATACTATATATAGTTATTTTTTAGTATATGTATATATATACACTATTTTAGAATGATTGAAAAAAATATTATTTATTTTAAAAGTATAAAAAATAGTTTAAAAATTTGCTTTTAATTAAAAACAAGAAAATTAACATTGAAATGGATATCATTTTTTAACTTTATAAAAAAAGTGCAATCTATAAAAGATATTTCGGTGAAAGTGAGAGTGATGTAATAACATTTCCATATTAAGATTAATTCTTTTATTTGAGATAAAAATAATAATTAATACAAATAAAATGAGAAAAACATAAATTAAAAATGTAATTTAATATATATATATATACTACTTAATATATTAATTCATTTTATTTAATCAATATGATGTTATAATTAATGTTATAATTTTAATAATTAACAGATAAACATTATCAATAAAATTAAAATTATGAATTTTATAAAATTAAAATACTAAAATTTATAAGTTAAAAATTTGGAGATTAAAATTGCTAAAACTTTAAAATGAAAATTTTGGAGATTAAAATTGAGATCTAGTAGGACGCTAAAAATACAATTTAAATATATATAATTTTTTCTATACATACATTTTATTGAAGCGGATATTAAGATATTTGTTTCTACAACATACAAATTAATGTTCCTAATTATATGTAAAATATCTATTTAAATTTATTTTTAATATGTCATTTTTAATTATATCAATGTAATTATTTTTATATTATAAATAGTTATACTTAATTTTATATAATAAATAATATAGTATAAAACTTATACTAACATATCATTAATTTAAGTAAAATTAGACTTCGATACTTTTAAGCAAGGTAAAAGAATATCCAATTAACTATTTTGATAAAAATTAATCATTAACAAAGTCGATAAAAATTAATATCAATAACATAATTATAAAAAGATATACAAAAGGTCATATTTATCATTTTGCTTGAGAACTTACAAAATGTTTCAAACATATTCTTAAAAAATATTAATTAAGAATGATAAGTACATATCTTTTACAACGACATTAGAAATATATATAAGTATTAGAAATATTAGGGTCAATTTAGAAAAATATCGAAATAATATACACAAAATTTTAAACTTTAACCTTATTATCACGTTCATAATCTTTCTTATTATGATTAAAAAAAAAATGAGTTGATATTTTAACCAAAATCTTTGTCGCATAGTCCAAGATTCTAATGAATAATTATATATTGTTTTGATGCATATCAATGTGATTTTAGAACCAAATTTAACTTTGGATAACTTATATATATATATATATATATTATTTTGGATAACAAAAACGTAGGGTTTTAGTCATGATCCATAAAAAAATACAATATACATTGATTTTTGTTAGAAAAAACATTTTTTTAACATAACCACAAATTATTCCAATTGGTAGCATACCATTTATAGTTAGATAAAGAGTTATCTTGACATGCTAAATGTGATGGAGAGAGACGAGACAAATTGATGGACGGACATGCATGATCATCAGCGAGGCTTTCGGAGTAAGCATGCACCGTGTTGGCAAATTTGACACACAAAAAAGACAATCACGGGCAGAATGGTGGGTCGGAGACATGAGGCCATACTTAATAATTTAATAGGGCATAGTATATATATGATATTAATATATTATGTGTGGATTAATCCAAAGTTCCAGCTAATATAATAGGACTACTTTGTGCTCATCCTAATTCCAAGTTTTTGATCTGGCTGTACGTGGTTGGATTATCAATTTGTTGGTCAGGGAGCAATGAAGTTATATAATTTCAGCCTCACACACACAAAAATATTTGTGGGATACCTCTATGAGCTGCATTATAAACTTGGTTACCACTTTCATGAAATTATAAACACAATTATTTGCACTAAAAGTTGTCGGCACTAACGTAAGTCAACTCATTCTTTGAACTTCGGATTTTAATTTATGCATGGGCCAATAACACACATGATAATGAGCTCTAACTTAATAACAAGGGTACGGGGTTGGTATGGGCAAAAAATTGAGCCAAGAATCATTTAAATTTGGGGTTGCTTTGCTCCCAAAAAGATTGAATTCACGAAGTAAAGTCATAAAGTTAAGAAGCCTTTTTCTGTATTTGTTGTATACTATTATCGAAGCTGATGATTAGGTTGAAGTACCTTTGAGTGGACATGTTAATGAATAGCTCATATTTTTTTTTTGCTGTTTAACTATTTAAACTTGGAGTTTATTGTTAGTTTATGCTCAAATGTATCCATGGACTTAGCTAGAAATTAAATGAGTGCTAATTTTTATGAGTAATTTAAACTGAGTTTTGTGTCCACAAAAGTGTCATGTGTTGGAGGCAGGCTTTTGTGAAGTTCATGATGACCTTACTTTCTCTTAATGATATGACCATACTTTCTAATGTATACGTCGAACTTGGATGACCACACAAGTCACACTTAGCAATATTTTTTAGCATATAATACACAGGCTCGTAAGTACAGTGGTTATGATTAATTTGCCTTACTTTTTGGTTGTGCTCAGTTGTATCAATGACTCCATGTAGAATTGGATAGGACCCTATTATTAAATGAAACCATATTCAAATTGTATAGTTTGAAACACTTTTTTATTTTTATACTAGCGGTTAAGACAACTTTTACTTGTAGCGTTAGAATTTTGAATTTCAAAGTCATCATTACAGGAACAAGAAGAATTTTACTTACTTTTATTACAGTTATACTCGCGAGCATATATATTAATTTGTTCAAATATCAAAATATAACTAATAATCATCACGAGATAATTTACGATGCATCGATTCATGAATGTAACAATCAATCATTACTCGAATATTTTAAAAAATGTTGTTATTATTATTTTAGTTAAGAAAACTTATAAAAACCAGTTTAATCAATTCACATGTTAGAAATTAGATCCGATGTTTTTTAAATATTTTTTTTTAATTTTAAATCGTGATTGCAATTGGAATTTCATTGCGATCGTTGATGCCATGGAAAATTGTATATAAATGTGGTTGATATGTGATTATAAGTCATGTCAGAGAAATGTTAATGATATTTTTTAAAATATTTTTGGATATGTTTTTTAATATTAATTAAAATATGTTAAAAATTATAAATTTTAGAAAATCTTCTGTTTTTGTTTATTGAATATCTATTATTTAGGGAAATGATCATTAACATTTATTATTTGTTCTTTATATTAAACTAAAATAACTATTTTGTATTAATAAAAAAAAAAAACTAGTTTTATGTTATTTGCTGAAGAGAGTATTTTTAATTATTTTTTAATGAGGTTACTTTTCTAAACTATTTAATAACCTCTTATTTTTAATAATATTTTTATTTAAATTTAATGTTATCTTGAAAGAAATGTCAGCAACAATTTTATATGTATTTCTCTTTATAAAGTAAAATAATTTTGTTGAATGAGAGCGGTTTTAAGAATGTTTAAAATTTTTTATCACTTTCAATTTATCATTATTATTTTTATTTTAAATTAAATTTTAATATTTTAAAATATATTATCAATAATTAAAACTAATTTTTATATCCCAAATGTCATATGATTATAAAATATAATTTATTTGGTATAAATTATTTACTTATTAAAAATTTAATTCTAAATATAATTTTTTTATACAAATATTTATTATGTAAAATAATACTAAAATTCTGGAAAAAAAAATCCTAAAATAGTAGTTTCGAATAAATTTTAGTTAAAAATATTAAAAAGAGAGTATTATTAATATTTCTCTTACAGCTATGATATAATCATCATAATAATTGCAACGATTTTTACATATTGTCAAATTATAGTTGTTGACTGTTGACCGTTTCTTAAATGTAGTTTTTTTTTATTCTTTTAATTCATTTTTGACTGTTGAACTCTTGAACTTGAACATTTTATTCTGTAAAATGTCGTGCTAAAGTTGACTGGTGTCTCAATGTACTGTATTTTGTTTAAAATGGTTTGTATTTAAAGTTTTACCAAAAAAATTTCTTTAAAATCTAACTTTTTTTTTACCCAAATAAATCCTTAAAAATCTATTTTAAAAAATTATACCAAATAATATACATGTTTTTTTTTTAATGTGATTAGATCCTCGGAATCGATCTTAATTAGGTGAGTTAAGTAATGATTCAATAGAAAAGGAAAAAAGCAGTCATTGCTTCCTTCCATTGTAAAGACTAAAGAGAGTGTGGAAAGAATTTCTCCCTCTTTTTTATATTTTTATATTTAATTAAAAGAATATTTATCAAGTGAAGATTATGTCTAATGTAAGTTATTATACAAATAAAATTTACTTATCCTAAGATTTAAAAAATAAAAATAAAAATAATAAAAAAAAGACAGAGGAAACATTTAGTGCGGAATGGGGGGCAAATAACCACGTGTCAAGGAACGATAATAGCTTAAAAAGAAATATTTAATTAATTAATTTATTTATACGTTACTGCAGTTTACATGCAAACGTGTCAACATTTATTAATTCTAAATCG